CATTCCTGCGGCGGCAGACGCAGCCCACCCACCCAGGCTGTGTGTGCACAGTCTGATCCAGCGCCTCTGGCCGGCAGCCTGGCTGGGAGGGCTGGCTGCATGGGGACCAAGGAACGACAGAAGCTGCCCACACGGCCCCAGACCCCGGGCAGACGGACGCCAGCACCTTCACCTCCACCCACTTTGACCACCAGGCGGGAAAAGCTTTTCACTGGGGTGGGTGGGGTATAAGGGAGCCACGGGAGATGCCACCCCACTTTAGGTCACTTCCCCAATTCCCTGGGCACCACACCAGCCCCCTGGCTTGCCCAGCTGGCCCCTCTCCCACCAAAAAGGAGGCTGGATGCTTTCCTAGCCGCATGAGGAGGTGCTTCTGCCTGAGACTACCCTGCACCCAGCAGAGCGGCTGGGGATGTTTTCCTCCTAACGTGCGCTGAGCGCTACCAGCTGCCTGGCCCGTCCTGAAAGCTCACGTGTGTGAACTTGGCAGACCTACAGTCTCCTGCAAGACAGGCAGAGGCGCTCTGGTTATCGCCATGGTACAGCAGAGGAGAGGCACAGAGAGGCTGAGAAACGGCGAGGAGGACAGGGCCAGAAACGAAGCCAGCCTGCAAGCTTCTTCCCAGGGCGTCCAGAGGGAGGCCGGCAGGCCCACAGGCTCCTCGCCACCCCACCCCGTTTCCTCCCGTGTTCGTGCCTGAGTGTGTGACCATAAGGGCCGCCCCAGGCCTCGCATCCCCCAGCAGCTCTCCCAGCACCACGTCCACACGATGGTATCACAGCCTCCCTCAGATCCACAGACACTCCCCCGAAACCCATGCCGCGGAGGGTCTCCAGGGCCCCCCCCCCCAGCCGCACATTTCTCCAGCCCCCAGGACTGCCCTCAGGAGCCCCGAAACACCTCCCTTTGGCCCACCTCACGGCCATCAGAGACGGCTTTCTTCCAGGAGAAAGACCACCCAATGACCCGTCTGTGCCTTTTCTCGCTCAGGCTTTGAAGCCCCACAGCTGTGCCCAGGACAGGGGCTCAGGTCCCAGGAGCCTGCCAACCCAAGCCTGGTGGGACCCTTCTCGCCAGACCCCAGACCCGGCCATTTTCAGCCTCAGTGCAGCGCCTCAGTCCAGCATCCTCATGGTTTTACAGAGGGGTCTCTGGCCCTGAGCTCCCTCTGGAATTTTTCCCAAGATGGAAACAGTACCTGGGTCTTCACTCTCAAAGGACATTTCAGAAAACCAGCAGAGAAGGGCTTGCAGGGCTTGACAAATAAATGGTAGGGCTCTGTGGTCTTACATCTAGGGGCCTGGGGCCTCTGCCCCTCAGCTGCTTGCCTGGTGCCCCCTCCTGACTCCCAGATCTGAAGGCCTTCAGATTTTAGGGTGCTGGAGTAATCCCCATGTCCCCTGGGCAGCTAATGTCCCTGGCCCTGCTCCCCAAGTCACCCTACTTCAGAGGTCACCATCTCTATGGCTAACGATTCCCTGAGGCCTCGGACGCAGCTGCTGCCAGCCTGTCATGGGGGAGCCCTTCACAGAATCATCCCCAAACTGCCACCCCATCTCCTGTGAATGGCCTTGCAGGTGGGCATTAGAGATTCTGGCCTATTGGGAGGCTGGTGGTAGCAGAGCCCAGGGGGCACCCTTACCTGTGAGCACCGCAGGGGCCAGGACCCCGGAGAGGAGCAGCAGTGCCATGCGCAGGGCCAGACAGAGCGCCATCCTGGCCTGTGAGTGAGCGCGGCCGGTGAGCGGGATGCACAGAGGACTGAGCTGGTTAACTTCAGGGCAGAGGGGAAGAGGCATCAAAGGGCTGGGAAGGGTTTCATCAATGCAAACTCTGTCCTCCTGGGACACCGTGCCCGCCCCCCACACATGAAAACACACACACACACACACACAGCACAGCTTACAGAACTGACTGCTTTCCTGAACTCTGCAGCAGCCCCACCCTCAGAGAGGGA